ACTCTGAAATGTCACTTCCCTCCCCTTTGGTCCACTTTTCTCTCTGGACTGGAACCTCACAATAAACTTGTCACGTGGCAACTGACCCCGACCCTGCTGTCGGCCAAATACACACAGCCTTTCAGCATTTTGTTGCCACCGTATCTGTTAGGTGCATGATCCCTGGTCCCATACCTGTCTGGGAGCTGCGCTGCAATAAAAGTAACAAATAATAATAAACAAATAAAAACAAATTCTTTGCACCCACTCTGTCCTGTAGGTGGTGCAGAAGCTCCACTGGGGTGGTGAACTGATAGTTGGAGAAACCAGGAAAACGGGGTCATGCAAGCTAAAGAGAACCTGCCAGCAACAGTGTTGGCCATGCTTTGGTGTTAAACTTGTGACTTGTACTACTACTGCTGCTACTACTACAGATTTTGTTTCCTGACATTTAAGATTCTTAACAGAACACAAGGGTTAAATATTTGAAATGGATGTGAAAAACAAAACAGCAGTGCAACACATGGGCCAAAAGGAAAAAGTGAAACAGAGGGAGAACTTAAGACAAAGTGTGAGTTAAAAACTTCTCAGTAAAAAAGTCAAAATACAGGAAACTGAATTAAGGATTTCAGTGCTTTAGATCTTTCTTCTGATACCAGTCTGCCGCAGAGTTTTAATTTCCTGTAAGATGGACTCTCATGATGCCATGTATCAGTCATTCTTCAGTGTTTTGGAGATTTGAGCATAATTTTTTATGCACTGATGAGTCATTTGCTCTATAAGTCATCTCTCCCACTGCGAGAATGCTGTCTTTTGTTATGAGCTTTTAGAGCATGACAGTAAAAAGAGGGGAAAGAGGAAGCTTGGTTCATAGAAAAAGTTCCAGGACTGTGGGAACAGCTTCTGTTCGCCACCACTCTCCCAGGGCTTCGACTCCTGTGTAGTGGGCCATCAAAGCCAAACTTTTCCACTCCACCTCTGCCCTCGCGTAAAGCGGCCCTCTTCCTCTCATCTTCTAACACACTTTAAATCAAGGGGGACACTTTCCAATCAATAGAGAGATGTGGCACAGACAGATCCTGTGTGTCCTAGCCAGTGTGGGCACACATTTTATAATGGAAACCATTGTCACATTTGGTCTAAACTAATGTCATCCTGTGTAGACATACAGATGAGACAAAATGTTCCTTGACTGTGTGATACACCATGATGCCAATATCACATCTTTTGACTGGGATTCTTCTATTTTACAGTGTAACTGGATGTTGGATCAGGTGTAGTTTATGTAGACGTGGCATTGAAGCCTGCTAATTTATATCTTCTTTTTACTGTTGTTGTGTAACCTACTTGGTATAATAACCACTGTATCTCTGACAGCAGGTCAGTAACAACTGAAAAGCACATGCCTGCGCCCCCTGCTGGTTGTCTTGGCCTTTTCATCTCTAATTATCACCCAGGAGAGTAGACAAATCATTTTATGCTGACAATCTGTCGGAGAAAAAGAGCCAACCAAGCAGATGTTATATATGATCCGCTCTTAAAATAGTCCTCGCTCCACTTGATAAGTTAAAGGAAAAAGCAAAAAGAAAGGAGATTGCTATTATACTCTGGTTTGTTTGAGGCTGCCTTGTGCTTAACAAACTCACTCACATGACACACATGAGGATCTATTATTTCTTCTTCTTTTTTTGAAAACCTGTCTTTCCTCGCTCTTAGAATTCAGTCTACAGTACCAAGTGGGTGCTGTGCTATGTTTGGAGGTGTTGCAGAATATTGATTATTCACCCACAATCATTAAAGAGACATGAGAACCTAGCCATGGCACCTCTGGGGCTGAGTAGGAGAAGAGAGAGAGAATAGGTCCATATAAAACCCTTATAGGATGTTTATGAGAGTGTAGCAGGGGAGGCATGTCAGCCTGAGAAGGAAGTGCTTTGCAAAACCACCAAGAGCAAGATTCATGCTGGTTGTCCTATCTCTACAGCTGCAGGCACAACCAAGAACCCGTGTCTGGGTGTGTCTGTATGCATGTGAGAATGAGTGACTCGAGTGGATACTATCTGCATACTAAAGTATGCATTGTGTTTTCCTGTGTGAGAATGCATGTGCAGTTGGTGTTTGTGCAGTGTGCTGTATGGCTCAGATGTGTGTGGGTGGGCTGAGTGGGAGCACTGGGAGACTGAAGATGCTCTAGCTTGTTTCTCATAAGTGAGCAAGACTGCCTGGGCAAATGAAGCAAAACTGTGTTATTTTTTTATATTCTACTTAAAAGTCTCATTGCAATAAAGGTAGAACATGTATCAAATAACATTTGACAGGTACACAAATCACTCTATAGTCTAGGTGTTTAAAATGATGCACCTGTGGATAGGATGAAAACATTTTATAGTCTCTGCAACTGTATACAATATAATTATTGGATGGTCAGGTTTATGTTATTAACTATTAATGAGATTATTTGTATGAGGGAGCCATTTTTAAGCTTCAGGGGAACCTGTTTTCTCTAATTAGCCGCCCTGCTTATGCTGCAGTGACAAAAGACAAATGAGCATTTTCTGCTGCTGTAAATATCAACTTTACCGCTTTACCATCACAAAAACAGAGATGGTGAAATAAAAGAGTACCCTCTGAAACAAAGTGCTTGGATTAATGAGGTTTAAAACAGACATTTCACCATATATGTAAGGTGATTTATTAGTATAATGCCATGACTCTACAGCAAAGTACAGCAAGGTACTATTTAATTAGTTTTAAAGCATGAAGGCTCTGCAAACTCTGACAATGGAATTTCACATAGCTGAGTTAACATAAGTCAAACAAGTCAAACCCACCAACACAACAACAGAGCATACCGAACCAGTGTGTCTTAAGGTAAAGCTGTACCAAATGCATCTTAAAATAAAGGTGTAATTACTGCATGCTTACTGTTGTGGAAGATCAGATTTATAGAAAATGCTTGAAAAGGTGAATAGAGAACTTACTTACCATGTGATCAAAAAGATAACCAATAGAACATACATAGCTCCTTCTCTTTTGATGTTTTAATAATTTTTTAAGCAAGTCAATTCATGAAATAATAGTCAAGATACAAGCACATCAGAAAACAATGCAACACAACAAATCATTTAAGCCACTACACAAAACCTAATGCTGATGCATACAAGGTTTATGCACAGATGGTATGAACTGATCCATCCAAAATAAGCCCTGTTTAGCATTTAGAGACATTCATTTTCACGTTCACAGATCATCATCTAAAAACTAGCACACTACCAGAAGTTTCACAAGTACATGCAGCGAGTTGCAAATTCTGGGTCAAAGACATCCGTACTGATGAGACTGCTGGAGAAGCAGAGAAGGAGTGTTAAAGTTCACAAAATTCACATATAACACACCCTCAAAACTGTTCTTTTTCTACTGCTAATTTGTGTTGAAAAAGAAAATGACTCCTGGGGTAAAAAGGTGTGCCTGAAAGCCAGCCCAGCCAGCTCATGCCAGCCATCTCTCGCTACCTTGCTTCCAACTCTTTCTCTTCATCCAGGTCAGGACGGGGGTATCACTGCTCTGGCACAGATGTGTCGTCTCTCTCTACTGCCCCCGATCCTCCTGTCTCTAAAAACAGAAATAGGCAAGGCATACTTAAGCACTACGGAGACTGGAAAAAAACAGTTTCTATGACACCTTCTATATTGTTAAAAGCTCAGAGTCACAGTTGCAAACTTTAAGGTTACTTGTGGGTGGATCTATTCTGGAAAAACACAACGAAACAATTGAAGAAAACTTTACATTGAGCTGCCACAGATACATTTTCATGGAAGGTTAATCTTTTCTATTCAAATATGCTTACTGTGTGATTTTAAGAAAATGATTTCCTGTGATGGCTGACATATCTGATGAACTAAAAAAAACCCCGCTTCTCTTGTCCTCCTCCAATGGGTGCTCTAGATGCTTAGTCCCAGTCCGACAGGTCCATTAATTCTGCTTGGCCCTCTAAAGCTTTGACTGTACCTAAAGCACCTGAAGCTATAAATACATCTCCTACATAAGGATGCAAGGCAGCCAGCAACTGGGTTAGGATGAATCTTTGATGTAGATCCCTTGGGTCAGCCACATCCCCAAAAAATGTTGCTTTGTCTTATAGGACAAGGTAGAATTTATGAGCGCTGGGAGCCTAAATCCATCTATTACTTCTCAAAGAATCCCTCTAATTCAGGTGGTTTGCTAGATGTCTACAGGAGAATGCAGCAAAACATTTTCTGACAAACAACTGAATTTTGAAACCACCTCTTTCTCCATAGTAGAACAAAAAAAAAAAGAAAAACAGAAAACACATTCACCACTGTGAGAATGTAACTTGGCATTCTCCAGGTAAACCGACCCCTCGGGAACATCTTTTCACAGCACATCTATAAGCAGGCTGATTTATAACCCTTTCCTTGAAGAATTAATTGAAAGACTCAATCATTTGTTGCTGGAGCTGGGGTAATTAAATGAGTCACACAGTTATGTGTTGCATTAATCACACTTGGGGTAACCCGTAAGAAGACTAATAGACATGTTTAATTATGTAGAGCTTATAAATGGTTTCATTTCCTAGAGTGTAAAATGGCCAACCTGTTTGTGTTCCTGCTTTATTCTCAAGGCTCTGAGGAAAGGTTCTGATCATGAAATGATCCCACTTTAATCTTAAAGTGAGACACACGTAAAGAAGACTAATGCTCTACCATCAATGTGCACAACATCCTTAAAATATCAGACTACACTAACTTATTTTTATTTGCATTATGCCAAACATTTGTTGGTTTATCAAATGTAGAATTTTGAATTCCTTTAACTCCAAGTCTCAGACACCCTGTTTACGGTCAAATAAGCAACTTATGCTCTCTAACCCTTAGCTTTTGTCACAAACTGATGGGAGCCTTGTTATCATGTGGCCATAATGTCTTCTTTAATAGTATTATGTGACTTAGTCTGGTCCCTTGGATCGGTGCCACTTACCTCCTCCCCTTCTGTTTTGTCCTCCGGCTTCATCTTCTTACGGGTCATGTGGCCACGGAAGCCAGCCTGGATCTTGGCAGCAGCCCTGTTGGCCTCGGGGTCATCCAGAGGAATGTCCATAATGTCCTCCT